ACACACACACACACACACACACACACACACACACACACACACACACACACACACACACACACACACACACACACACACACACACACACACAGGTTCCAGAGACAATATGGTACACACTCATACTTCTGACCGAGTGCATCCATTTCACTGAATCTCGTTGAAAGGAAATATTATGGTCATATTTCCTCCTATGAACTTCACCATATTAAATTTTTCAAAATCTACGGGAAAACAAATTATTTTACGTCGAGAATCAGGAAATATGAGCACTATCCAGTATATACAATTGATTTCACCGCCGGAATAATAATAAAAAAATACATGTAAACCGCTCATTCTGACATTGGTTCAAGTACAGATAAATCCAACATCAAAAGCTTAAATCAAATTCCCGGGATTAATAAAATATCTGTGGAACTGCCAGGACCGAAAATAACAAGAGAAATTGCTGTTAAATGATACTGTACGTTCTCATGGGCAACCACCCTGCCTTAACCCTCACACGACCCAACACTATTACAACAGATGGCGCTATTATACGTGAAATATAACGTTCACTCACAGGTAACGATTGGCCATCTTGCTGCAGATGTGGCCAATATTATCCCGACCATATCACTTATCCAGGGGTGAGGAATAGAGTGAGAACGATTAAAGTGAGAGAGGGGAGAGATAAGAAATTGAGAATGAGTTGGGATAGAGAGAATGAAGAATGGGGTGAGAGAGAAAGAATTAAGAATGAGGTGAGAGAGAGGTGAGTGAACAGAGAATGGTGAGAGAGAGAGAGAGAGAGTGAAATGGGTTGGACAAGGAGAGGAGGGGTGCCTGGTTGAAACTACACTCTAAACAACTCAGCCTAACCTAACCACATCAAACCAAATCTTAATCTAACCGAACCAAGACAAACAAATTAACTCTGAAGAATAAAACATTATCTTCTTAACTTTGGTGATGATGATAATGGTAACAATGACGATATAGTAATAGTGTTGATGGTAAATGATGATGATGGTGATTGTGATGATTAGAGCCCTGATATTCAAACAAGAGACCTGAGTGCTATTGATTTATAATTTCCTATTTCGTGTTAATATTCCTATTTTGACTATTTCCATTTATTAATATCACTCCGCTATAAGAGGAACTCCAAAGTGTTTGTTTTTATCAACATTTAGCTCCATATAAATCAGTGTGGCTGAATCGGCGTTAGGCGTCAATATATGTTTATTTTTGTCACGGTCCGCTGCGTGAATTGACGGAAAGAAACTCGACAAGTTTAATTATGCCACGCTACTATGGCGACAGTCGCGCTCCCACAGGTGAGTCAAGTAGTACGGGAAATATTTTGAGCGACAAAGCCTAAAATGAGTTCTTCTTTTTCTTCTTCAAAGCAAAAACTGAGAAATATTGTTAGGAGGGTTTGGGGACAATGTATTTTCTACAGACGGGGATATTATTGTTTAAAAAAAAGGTGAACAACGAGAAGGTATTTATTCCCAAACTTTAGAAATTTCTAAATTTAAAACTCCTGCAGAGCTTCAATTATGAGAATTCAAGACCGAATTACTTACCATTACGTGTAACCCATAATTGATCTACTTACATTTTATACACCGAGAAGAGACAAAGAATAAATAACACAAATTATTTTGTCTACCAATAGAAGCACTCATTGTTTTGTTCACAGATTTTCTGAAAGGAATTGAAGTTTCTGTTTTGAGAATGACTATAATTATTGTCAATAAAACAGCAACACTTTCTTACAGCAGGAAGTGTACAGGTTGAGAGACTTCGAAAACAAATTTGTTGTGTTGTTCACCTCTATATATAATCAATGTCCCTCTGCCAGCCCAGACACCCGAGGACCGAACAAGGAAACACCAGAAGGAAGTGACTGGTGAGTGACAACACGAGTGACTGGTGAGTGACAACACGAGTGACTGGTGAGTGATAACACGAGTGACTGGTGAGTGACACATATGAACAGTGACTCGTGAGTGACAACACGAGTGACAACACAACAGTGACTGATGGTAGAGGAAGGGGGTGTGACAGCCACCATTATGCACTCTCTCTCTCTCTCTCTCTCTCTCTCTCTCTCTCTCTCTCTCTCTCTCGCCAAATAATTCTACCACATAATATATGTTTAGATATTCAGTAAACATACTCCCAAATTGAAAGATATTGACTTCACTCTCAAACATCCACAGACTAAAACAAAACTCAGTGTGAGTTGCATTATATCATAACGAGTATGTCAGAGGTAAAGGCTCACCAAACCTCAGTATACTGGTTCAACACACCTCAGTATACTGACCTTATGAAGGTTCAACACACCTCAGTATACTGACCTTATGAAGGTTCAACACATCTGAGTATATTGACCTTATGAAGGTTCAATACACCTCAGTATACTGACCTTATGAAGGTTCAACACACCTCAGTATACTGACCTTATGAAGGCTCAACACACCTCAGTATACTGACCTTATGAAGGTTCAACACACCTCAGTATACTGACCTCATGAAGGTTCAACACACCTCAGTATACTGACCTTATGAAGGCTCAACACACCTCAGTATACTGACCTTATGAAGGTTCAACACACCTCAGTATACTGACCTTATGAAGGTTCACCACACCTCAGTATACTGACCTCATGAAGGTTCAACACACCTCAGTATACTGACCTTATGAAAGCTCAACACACCTCAGTATACTGACCTTATGAAGGTTCAACACACCTCAGTATACTGACCTTATGAAGTGTAATGAGTGATTGTCAGACCCAACCTTACAGCCCAGAATTATGCCGCATATAACAGCAAGAGCACTGCAGACCTCGTGGTACCACCACATTCCGGGTTGACACACCTCAGGTCGACCCAAGGGACTTGACCTCGCCCGCTAATGACGTGAGCCGGGTGACCTGCAACCGCACCTAGCCAAGACACCTGGCCAGGACCACACCTGCACACAGCTATCGAGATCAAACCAGTTTAGTGTTAATTGTTAGAGGTCAGAAGCCGGCTGGGCCGACCCCATATAAAGGCCCTACAGTCCCGTCCACGAACATTATCATTATCATTATCATTCTGATTCTGGTCATACTGATTCTCATTCTGGTTGCTGTCATCCCCCTCCCGTTCGGGTCGTCACTCGGTTCACTAAGCAGAGTCACGCACGTCCCCTCCCCAGGTCGGGAGGGAGACCTCCCGACCAGACCACGGCATCGCCAGCTAAGCAGACTCTCCCATAGGAGGCAGCCCAGCCAGCACTCACTGGGCCTACGTCAGGGTACACGTGAGTCTTGTCAGAACGTCCTAGGGTGAGTTACCTACTGTGGGAAGTGTATTCATTCAGGTGTGTCCGAGAGTCAGTGTCAAGTAACGTAAAGCATAATGTGTTAGTACCCCGATATAATAGTGATATTAATGTGTCCATGTCATTGAGTGAAGTAATAAATAGTTGTATCAAGAGGTGTTTAACAAGTTGTCCCTTTAAGAAGTGATATATGTGTATTGACATACGAGATAAGATAAGCGTAGTGACGCTGTGCAAATAACATCCAGGCCAAGCTACCAAGTTTCCTATCTTTACATTCCTACTCTCTATACTTCCTACCTATATATGAAATTCTCTTCTTGTGAGATTCGTCTCATTACAGAAGGTTCAACACACCTCAGTATACTGACCTTATGAAGGCTCAACACACCTCAGTATACTGACCTTATGAAGGTTCACCACACCTCAGTATACTGACCTCATGAAGGTTCAACACACCTCAGTATACTGACCTTATGAAGGCTCAACACACCTCAGTATACTGACCTCATGAAGGTTCAACACATCTGAGTATACTGACCTTATGAAGGTTCAACACACCTCAGTATACTGACCTCATGAAGGTTCAACACATCTGAGTATCTGAGTATATTGACCTTATGAAGGTTCAACACACATCAGTATACTTACCTTATGAAGGTTCAACACATCTGAGTATATTGACCTTATGAAGGTTCAACACACCTCAGTATACTTACCTTATGAAGGTTCAACACACCTCAGTATACTGACCTTATGAAGGTTCACCACACCTCAGTATACTGACCTTATGAAGGTTCAACACACCTCAGTATACTGACCTTATGAAGGTTCAACACATCTGAGTATACTGACCTTATGAAGGTTCAACACATCTGAGTATATTGACCTTATGAAGGTTCAACACACCTCAGTATACTGACCTTATGAAGGTTCAACAAATCTGAGTATATTGACCTTATGAAGGTTCAACACACCTCAGTATACTGACCTTATGAAGGTTCAACACACCTCAGTATACTGACCTTATGAAGGTTCAACACATCTGAGTATATTGACCTTATGAAGGTTCAACACATCTGAGTATACTGACCTTATGAAGGTTCACCACACCTCAGTATACTGACCTTATGAAGGTTCAACACACCTCAGTATACTGACCTTATGAAGGCTCAACACACCTCAGTATACTGACCTTATGAAGGCTCAACACCCCAGTATACTGACCTTATGAAGGCTCAACACACCTCAGTATACTGACCTTATGAAGGCTCAACACACCTCAGTATACTGACCTTATGAAGGCTCAACACACCTCAGTATACTGACCTTATGAAGGTTCAACACACCTCAGTATACTGACCTTATGAAGGCTCAACACACCTCAGTATACTGACCTTATGAAGGCTCAACACACCTCAGTATACTGACCTTATGAAGGTTCACCACAGCTCAGTATACTGACCTTATGAAGGTTCAACACACCTCAGTATACTGACCTTATGAAGGCTCAACACACCTCAGTATACTGACCTTATGAAGGTTCACCACACCTCAGTATACTGACCTTATGAAGGCTCAACACACCTCAGTATACTGACCTCATGAAGGTTCACCAAACCTCAGTATACTGACCTCATGAAGGTTCAACAAGTCAGTGTACTGACATGAAGGTTCAACACACCTGAGTATACTGACCTGGTGGCGAGGTAGAGAAGGCGTGGTAAAGCTGTGTAACGGAGAAGGGGGCGTGGCAGACGATGAAGAAGAAGGTGATGACAAGGGTGAGCTTGATGGTCTTCATCTTGGCCAGAGACAGAGGCTGGGGCACGTTAGGGAAGCTGTGTACCACCAGGGGTACGCGGCCCACACGGAGGGTGTTGAATGACCCTGCTGACACAGTCGACGGACCCCATCCATCAGAAGGTTCGCAGGAGGTGTCGTCATCCACACAACACAGCTTGCGGAGCATCATGATCCTGAGGGGCACGTAGCCTCGTCTGTACCGAGAGTACCGCCACACCTTCATCGTGATGCAGGTGTAGCAGTACACAGTCACCAGCATGGGGCCGAAGAAGGCCGCACACACGAAGTACACCACGTAGGCCTTGATGCCCCACGCGTCGTGAAAGTCTGCCCAGCAGTTAAATTCACCAGACTCCAACCTTTTCCTGGAGAACACAAAGGCCTGGGGCAGTGCCAGGATGGCTGACACGACCCACACCACACGTACCATCTGCGGCGACGACCACAGGCTGCTTCCCGACCGCCACGAGATGGCCCGATACCTGTCCAGGGCCAGACAGGTAAGCAGCAGCGGTGACAAGTACAAAGGCATCACCTGCATGAATTTGACACTTTTGCAGAGCCAGTTGGGGCCGCGGAAGTAGTAGGTTAGCTCCCAGGCCAGCTGAGACAGCACGTTGAAGAGCCCAACCATGAGGTCGGCGAGGCAGATGTGCATCATGAAGAAATAGGTGCGGGACATGGGCCGCATGAAGGAGGACCTGATGAGGGCGGCCAGCACCAGGCTGTTGGACACCAAGATGAGCACCAGCAACAGGGCCAGCACTGTCACCTCCACGCTGGCCAGAGATTCATCCCTTACAGAGACCTGGGCGATTCCCCTCACCAACACACACTCACTCCCGTTCTCTACGGTCTCGTTCCCCATACACTCCGTCCAGTTGAGACGTGGCGAGATTTTCTCAATTTCAACATTGAAAACTTCATCTTCAGCCATTGGACTTCTTCAACAGATACCTGCAATATACTGCCACTTGCACTACAGTACCCGGAAACAATTAGTGACCAGCAGTACATCTAATGTTTTTATGAAGGTAAATCACCACACACACTATCTACTATACTTCCAGGTGTATTTGACAAGGGTCCTTCATAACAGCCACCGGGTGTATGAGTGACGAGAGAAGGCGGTGCCTAGCACGTGTTGTGAGAGGCAGCAGCGGTGAGAGTGAGGAGCCGACCTGCTGCGTTGTGGAAGGGTTGGCGGTGAGAGCGAGAGTGAGGGAGGTGCCTGTGAGGGGTAGAGGCGAGCCTGAGGTCTTGAGGCAGAGTGACACACCGCGCCAGACACCCAGCCAGGGAGGGGCAACCAGCTTAGGTCGCACACACGGAAGACAAGTGAGAGGGGAATAATAGGAAAGAAACAAAGATAGAGAGCAACAGAAAGAGACACATACTGAGAAAGGAGAAATGGAGGTCATGACAGGGGGCCGAGTTTAACCACCATCACCACCTGTGTTGCCTCATTCCTGGCCGACACATTCTACCCTGGCACTGTGTGGTTTTATCACATTAACTACGCATCACCAATTGATTTTTCTTCTATCAAAAAAAAAGGACATTAGCTATGAGCCGCGATCTGACCGCTTAAGCTGGTGGAGCCGGCAGTTGCCATGGGCAATGTTGGCCAACTCCACCCACCCCCTCCTCCCCACCAAAAGTGACAATTTCGTTTCGGAAAGTAGTGTTTAAAGCCAGTGAATTCAGCACTAGACAGTACCAGCTAGAGCCGTGACCCACCAATGTGGTACCGACCAGGCAGTTTTAATCAGTCCACCCAGGGAACAACCGTGGGTCGGCTTTACACCTGACCACGAGATAACACAACACCACTCAGCAGAGTGCGAGTTACTGAGACTCCACACTACCCACACCACCGGTGAGGGTCTTTCATATCAACACCTACGGACGAGCTACTGCACCACGTGTTTTACGCGACCTCACACAGTAGGGCAAGAGACCAGCCCCGGCCATCAACTGTTAATTATAATTTGTATGTTCATTTCATGTTCCCTTTAGTAATGAAACCTTTTGGTAAACAACCCTTTGCATGTACTAAGTCATTTCTGTCCAATGTATATTTTCAGCCTTCAGGCTGCTGAACTTTTTAAATAAACCGATGATAATAATTATTATTATTATTATTATTATTATTATTATTATAATTTATTGCACACACACACATAGTTGGTATTTGTTGAATAATCATACGTCTACACACCCAAACTTACTTAATTACAAGTTATGAATCAATGTTTCACAATTCTCTCTTTTATGTTTGTTTTTATAATAATGCGACAATTTGTGTTTTTATCACAGGATGGACAACACGTTGTAAGTTTTGAGGATCATGATAGACTAGTAGTTCTCAACCTTGTTTGCCCCATGCACCCCTTTCACCATATGTCAGAATGTCATTCCCCCTCCTTTCCAAGATTGTCTGCCTCAAAAAGTGCATTCCAAATAAATACTGAAAATCCTTTATTTTTTTCATATTAGTACATATACAATTACAATTTTACATGGATTATTTTTATAGTGGAGTTTTACAAATTAAATGCCAATTGAAAATGTTGATGGATTTATAAAACTTGAATAAAAGTAAAATAGTTTTTTTTTTATTTATAATGAATTACTTAACAGACCAAACTGAAGCATAATGCAATAAACAAAAAGTTCAATAGAATACCAGGATATTGTAAATTTGTAATTAATTTTATTCGGATGAAGATTACAGTCAATGAGAAAACTGTGATTGTTTTTTCTTCGCCAATTCTGGGATACGCGGAGGAGTGTTTGAAAGGGCACAACGCAGGTCATTTTCTACCTCTAATCTACTACGTTGCTTCGTTTTAATTTGCAACAGAGTTGAAAAGCCTGACTCACAAAGATATGTCGACACAAACGGAAGCAATGCACGGATAGCTCTTTCTGCCACTTTTGGGTAGGAATCGCACATCAAGGGCCAAAATTCTGTGATTGATTTCTCATCGAACATATCTCTTGCTCCCGAATCAGTTTCCCCCCCTGAAAATCTGAATTCCCCCCCTGGGGGGAATTCCCCCCTGGTTGAGAACACCTGTGATAGAGAGTTCAGTCTGCCTCACAGCCTGTCTCCTGCTACTCATTAATAATTTTTCCCTCATTCTATATGTCACTTTACCCTTCCAGAATGTCCCAAACTAGATAACTCCACATAACCTAACCACACTTCACCTCACCTAACCTAACCACACCTCACCTAACATAACCTAATCATACTTCACCTAACCTAACCATACTTCTCTTCACCTCTCCTAAGCACACTTCACTTAAACTAACCTCACCTGACCCAACCACACTCCACCTAACCTAACCATTCTATACTTCACCTCACCACATTTCACCTAACCTAACCACAATTCATTTAACCTAACCACACCACCTAACATAACCAAACTCCACCTAACCTAGCCTAACTTAACCTAACATAACCAAACTTAACCTAACAGAAGCAAACCTAACCTAACCTCACCTGACTCAACCACACACCACTTAACCTAACCTAACCTAACCATACACCATCTAACGTAACCTCACTTCATTTCACCTAACCTAATCTAAAGGAAAAAGACTATGACGTCAACAATTTTGAAAACCGTCTCATATAAACATTAGAAGGAACATTGTAACTTCATATTTTGTCTGTGTGTGTACATACTACGTACTGTGTTCACTAGTACTGTAAACCTTCCCTCACCTGATTATAATCAGGTGAGGTAATTCTAATTAGAATTAGAATTACGATTACATGAATAAAAATTATTTATATTACAAATACAATTATGAATACACCATAATCGAAATCAATTACCTGTACAAGATTATGATTTTTACCAGCCCTATGTCTGCCACGCACGCACTCACACAAACTACCTGGACACCTGCTCCCCCAACTCCCGCCACACTTCACTGTATATCGAACCATTGTCTTGTGTTGCACCTGAGCCTCCACTGACCCATTCCTTAGCGCAGTCTTCAATCCTTGTAGACTAATTCACCCTCTAACCTTTGATTAGAATTACGGTGGTATAGCCTCTATACCGGAGAGTATCAGAGTATTTGAGGCACCATTAAGTTTGCCAGTTCCGTTTGTCCACTCTCATGGACCCAAATTTCAAGATCAAAAGGCTTTTTAAACCCTTTCACAATGTAGGAATAAACCTCGTAGTTCTTGGTTCAGGTGAAGGTCAAGGTTTTACCTCGGATCTTGTTTTGCGCCGCAAGTTAGTTAGTCGAGTTCTCAACTCATATATTAGTTTGTAAATTCACTGCAGGAACTTCTCTGTGCCGTAGCTTCTGGGAGCCAGTTATTTGCATTCTCACATCTCCAGGTTGGCGTGGAGGAGGGGGAGGGAGAATGGGGAAATAGACACAGGAGCCTTTGTGAAAAATCAAGTGAGGTAGTTGGTGAAGTTGGGGGCAACTTATGTATGAGAAGCAATAGTTATGCGTTCCCTTGATGAAGAACGATGCGTTCACATAAGAAAGCAGTGTAGAACTGAGAGAGATGAGCTCTCCTCTCTGACCAGTGTAGAACTACCTACTCTAGGGGTGAAAGCCAGCAAATTATCACAACACTTATGTGTTTGGGGGTGGGGCAGGGTGGAGGATGGTTGGAGGGTAGGATGGGGTGCATGAGGTTGGGATGGCATGGAGGGTGTGAGGGGAGAGGTAGTGTGGGGATGGTGGGAGGGAAAGCATGGGGGTGTGGTGTGGGAGGGGTAGGATGGAGGTTGTGAGAGAGAGGGGTAGGAAGGGGGAAGGGGTAAGATGGAGGGTATGAAGAAGAGGGGTAGGGATGGAGGGTGTGAGGAGGAGGGGTAGGAAGGGGGAAGGTAAGATGGAGGGCTTGAAGAAGAGGGGTAGGATGGAGGTTGTGGGAGAGAGGGGGTAGGAGAGAGGATGGCAGCGACGTAAATAACATCAGGAAACGGAGAAGAGTGAGGACATGGAGGGGGTGAGAGAGGTTGGGAGGGGAAGAAATAGGGAAAGGACGTGGTAGGAGAGAGGGGGGGTGAGAAGGAGCAAGGGAGGTGATAGAAGGAAAGGCGGTAGTAGTAGTAGAGGAAGGAAGGGGAACGGGACGACGTAGGAGGGGGAAGGAAGGCGTTGGAGGAGGAAGGGAGCGTAGGGGAGGGGGGGGGTGGTAAGGGGAAGGGAAGTGGTTGGAGAAAGGGAGGTGGTAGTAAGAGGTTAGAGGGGAAGGGATGCGGTAAGAGGGGGTAATGAGGTGATAGGAAGGGGAATGGAGGTGATAAGAATAGAGGAAGGAGAGAGAGAAAGGGGGGTAGGAAAGGAAGTGAATTGAAACATTTTATTTAGCCAGAAAAACACAGATACAGAGAGGATAATAATAACAATATTAACATGGCTGAGCCAGTTGAGAACCTGAGCTGTCTTAGTGGCACCTGATATATACTATACATTTATCTCAAGGAAGTATTATGTAACATTTAATATCATCTGGAATAGTACAATAGCATGGTAGTAATAAGTACATCTCATAATGTTACCACGGTTATCAATTTATTTATTTTATTATTATTATTTATTTATTTATTTTATTTATTTTGTATTTACTATATATATATATATATATATATATATATATATATATATATATATATATATATATATATATATATATATATATATATATATATATATATATATATATATATTTTTTTTTTTACAGTGGAATTGAAAAACATAAGTATAATGGGGGAGCAGTACAACCTGGGTTGTACAGTAATAAGATTGAACAAGAGGACAGAGCTGTCAGGATTATGTCTAGTTGGCAATTATGTTTTGTACAATGGTAGTTACTTATTTATTTACATGATGATTTCCGATAAAACGGTTTTGATGGTACAATAAAAGCAGGTACTGTAAATG